ACCTCACTCTTATTTTTTTATATGTGTGTATATAAAAAAAAATACATCTCACATTTCTCAGCAGCCAATAAATGCCGTTGATACTGGTAACCTCTCACTCCATATACCACATGCTCTAGGTTCTGGAGGGGAACAGTCACTGCCTGTCACAGAGGGTCACCTCAGAATATTTGCCTCAATTCCAAGGGGTTTCTCCGATTTCTTAAAATTTGTTGTTGTGAGGAGAAATCCAAGAGTTGTGTGATTAGGGTGACCATTCTTTAAGGAAACACAGAGGCTTTTTAATGTGCTGTCACAGCAGCCCTTGGGTCAGCAGCAAAACGCTGCGTGTTTGGAGGAGTGGAAATGCAGCTGACCTGATATGGGAACTTCAAATTGTGAGTATTTCCCGAAATCTGTTACAGAAATCAAATGTTTACAATGTTTGAAGGTCCAGAAGAAATACTAAAGGGAATGTTCTTTCTGTTTGTCCTGTAGAATGGACTAAGTCATTCCTGCCAGTTCTTGCTCAGATGTCACAAGCATCAAAAAGATATTTGGCTGAATCAGAACCCAAAAATAAATTGGCTCATATGGGATGGCATTGCTTTCTTGACCAAAACCTGTCACTGGCTGCTACATCAAATTTACTGCTTTGGTCTTTGCTGCTTCTGTTTGATGAGAGCACTGATTTTTTATTTTTTTTTTTCTTTCAAAACTAACATTGAATTGATTTCTTTCAATGTGCCAGTTAAAAGTCAGTTCCTTTTTCTTCCCCTGTTTATACGCATTACAACTGTGGATTCTGATGGACCAGCCATCAAATTTTAACTGCCCTCTGACAGCGTGTAACTGGTTTACAAGCACACAGGACTAACATAAGCTTGCCATCAGCTTGCTGTATAATGTTTCCTTTTTTCCGGCTCTGGCAGCTGTTCGTGCAGGTGTTGGTTGTGGTATCTGAGTAATGTGGTGCTTGGCTACTTGGAGTTGTACCCAACCTCTTGGATACACAGTGCTGTGGTTAACTACTACAGTTTGTCTTTGGAGGGAGCGTTTCTCCCTAGTCCTGAGAAACCAGCAAAATTGGAAGTTTTCGCTATTACTCGTTTGGTTTTCCATGTTTGATGTTCAAGTGACCTTTGGGTGCAGTGGCTGTTCCCCTCCCTTGCACATATTGATTACCGCAACTGGAGATCCTCAGATCTTTCAGCTGGCTAGGAGGGTTTTGTTAAAACTGTCCGAGTTTCTGGTTTGTAGAATTTTACGTAGGTGGTTTTACAACGCATTAGGAAGAAACACTAATGACGTAGCATCACAAGAAGCATTTCAAAAAGCACTTCAGTAGAAGACAGCCACGAGGCCTCGTGTCCGTGTGTGATGGCAGTCAGCTCTCCTGGACCAAACCACCTTCATGATACCATTGCATTCTGTGTTTGCAATTCAAGCTTAATTCCTTTTTTGTTCTGTTTGTTTCCATAGCTTTTTTTGTTGTGTTTTGTGCATTTTGAATAGCTTTATTCACATGGGTTTTTCATGCAGACTTCCCTTGGACAGTAAATCGAGTTGTTTGTGCATGTGAACAACTGAGAATTAATGTTGGCTTGATAGAGTCATAATATGGTTTGTAATATTGTTCTTCCCTGAGACCACTGGCTTGTCTGGTATGGAAAATTTATTTAGAACTTCAGCTATGTTTGAATAAAGTTAAAGTAATCCAGTTTGTTTATAAATTAAACGCAAAAGCCCACCCAGCCCTGAAAAGCAGCATTTGAGGAATGGCAGCAGGGTGTCCCGGTGCGGTGGGACAGGAGCTGGCGTCGCCGAGGGGAGCAGGGACTGCAGGGCTCGGCCTGGGTCCCTCCTGAGTGGCACTGCAGGGTGCCCTGGCAGAGGAGCTGGTGTGCTTGCAGGGAACACAATTGCTGTGCAGACACGGCCGTGCACTAAATCAGGTGCTCCTTGGAGGGACGATAAACCAGAGGCAGCAGCTGAGCACGGCGCAAGGTGTGGAGCCACCCTGTGTGATGCCCCTGCTCCTCCCAGGTGCTGCCAAGTGCTGTGTGGGTCCAGGTGCACTGATGCTCCTCTTGGTCTCCTAAAACAAAGGAAAGGAAGCCCAGTTTGCCCAGGATGGCTGGTGACCAGAGGGGGCTGCTGTCAGGCCCTCTGGGAACTGCTGAGAGCTGTTGGGTTCAATCCAAGTCTAAGTGAACAACACTCCTATTGTTGGTGTAACTCCATACATATATATCTATATATACATATATATATCTGCATATGTATATCTATAATATAGATATATATATATATATTTAAACCCTTTTCATTCCATTAGTACAAGTAACACTTGTTTCCTGTTATTCTTATTTTGTTTGTCAACCGTGTATTCAATCACTGGGCTGAACAACAGTGGAGGAAGGTGCAAGGGATCCACTCCTACTAACCAGTGATAAAGCCAGATATTGCAACTTAACCCATGAGTAGATGTGCAGACAAGGATTGAAGAATGATGTGTAGAAACAACACAAGTGGCCAGGGGTGCTGAAGATACAGAACTCAAGTAGACAGGAGGGCTTTGAAGGACACCTCATTCAGAGGTGCTGAACAGCCTCTGACATGGAGCAGCTGGGTCAGTCAGCACGGAGGAGTTTGTGGGGAGACACCTGACAACAAAGGACGCAGCAGTGGGGATTTACAGAGACACAGGGCTTGGCAGAAGTTTGAGGTAGTATCCTGAGCTTAATCTGTGGGACAGCAGCAGCGCTCAGGTGTCCCAGTTGTGGTTGTTGGTACTTGTAAATGAACCTCTGGACTTTGCAGCTGGAGCAGTAAATTCCTTACCAGGAGTGTGGCAGTGCTTGGTCATCGGCCTGTACGGATTGGTCTCGCCTGCAGTCGGCCTGTTCTGCAAGTACCTTAGGACTTCACTAGTTTGTGTGTGTGCATATGCGTGTGTGCTCATATATATTTTTTGGGTATGCGTTCTGTTGATTAGTAACCATTAATTAGCATTTTCAATAGGGCTTCAAGTCCAGTAGATTACGGGTAGTCAGTTGACGAAGATCTGGTTTACAAGAACTAACTAAATGTTTCATTGCGTTTTGTAAGTACATAGAATAATTTTATAAAATGTTTGTAGTTTATAAATGCCTAAAATATAATTTAAGGGCACTTTTCTGTGTCCGTGTGTGGGTGTGTCTGTCTGTGATCAGTTTTTCCATGGTACCAGTTACTAGTTAGCTTTACAATATGCCAAAAAGGAATCGCTGACTTGTCCAGTTCATGGCTTGTCCCTCTCCCCTGTCCCGCCCAAGCTTTGTGACCCAGTATACAGCGAGTGAGTAAAGGAGGTGGGAAAATGTTCTGTATCTTCAGTATCCTGGTCTTCCAGAGCCCTCTGGTTGGGGTGGGATCCTCTTACGTGGTCATTTCACTTTGCTGTCCAGGGCAGTTACCTTCATGGATGACAGGAGCCTCACTGGTCAGGGAAGCAGAGCGGGGTTTGCTGCTCCCCAGGCTCCCGGGGCTGCTCAGCACCTGCTCTGAAGGATGCCACTGCATCAGGGAAAGAGGGAAGGTGGCTTTGGTAATTACTATTGAAGAGTTCTTTGCAAATTTCTTATCACTTTTAAATGCTTGTGTAAAGCTGTAGGGCACCATTGGAAGCTTTGTTGAAATGAGCAAGGGAGGGTCCCTATTTATTGTTATTTAAAAATCTTGAAGATCCAACCTCTCTGCTGTGGACAGGGACACCTTTCTCTTCTTCTGTTTTCTGAACCAGTGAGGTTTGAGATGAAAGGATTGGCCAGAGTATGTCTACCTCTGGGACAAAAAACTAGAAAGTGCTAAGGAATGGATGCAGTTGCAAATACATTTTCCAATTTTTCTTGTTTAAATTTTTTTAAGAGAAAATTAAACAATAACATGGCCAATTTATTACATAAAAAGACTTGCTGTGTATAAATTATTCCTAAAGAAATTCCTGTGTTTATATTAAAATGAATCAGTAGATAAAAAAATTTCAAAATGTTTTTGTATATTCTGTTGTAAGAATTTATTCCTGTTATTGCGATATACTCGGGATTCTTTACATTATGAAAAGAAGAAACTTTGTCTATTTTGAATGGCTGAAGCTAAGGCTCCTTTAGTTTCTCTTACTCTGCTTTTTTCTAGTAGTTTCAGTACTACATGATTTAAGTTAAATAAAAGAATTCTGTATGCATTTGTTTGTTTCTGATTTTGTTGCTCCTTATGCAAAGCGAATACAGGTTAGAAAACTCGGAGCAAAGCTGCTCTGGTCTTCCACTGCCCTTTTGGCTGCATCTAATTGAGCTACTCTTAATAGGAGTCAGTACTGCCATTGTTTGATTGAAATCAAAAGCATTTTCATCCAGAGATACTGAGCTTTTGGATCCTTCATGGCTGAGATTTGAGCAGTTTGCACGAGGCGGTTCCTGTGAATAAGGTGAGCATTGTTAGTTTTTATTTACCTGCAGAGCAATCCCCATGTGAGGCATTCAGCCAGCCAGTACCTGGTTTTCAGCTTTCTGTAACACTGGAAAGGACAGTGGCCAGAAAACCAGCATTGTCTTGGCATTTCCAGTTCCTCAGACTCTTGGCAGCAAGGTGTTGACTAAAACAGGGCTCAGAGGTGGCCTGATGCCCCAGCCTGTGCTGGTGTGTTTGTCTCTTGTCCTCTTTACTGATGGTGCTTGAGGAACAGGCTTTTGTTTCCCTCAGGAAATCCCAGGTGTCCAGATTGTGCTGCTGCTGTGCTGTTCCTGACTGATTTCATCTTGTCCTTGTGTCCTGGCAGCAGGATTTCAGAGGAGAGCGTGGACATTCCCTGTGTGCTGAAGGCAGTGCTGTGACCCTCTGTGGTACCCAGCACTTCTGTAAGGAGCTCTTTGAGATGGGGAGGATCTGCTCCCATGTTTCACAATTTGGGATCTCCTTTGGTGCCTGTTCTGTGGGGAACCCTCTCCACAGGGCAGTGCTTCAGGATTGCCTCTCTTGGGACAGGTTAGCTCTTGGATTTGCCTTTGGGCTGTGCTCTGTGGAAGGACAATGGGGTTTTCCCCTTGGGACAGGCACTGAGAATTTGGGGAAAGTGGCTGCTGTGGGTTGAAATGCAAGTTACCGACAACAGCATTATAGATCCTGCTGGTTTCCAGTTTTCTGTGTTCACTCTGGATCAGAACATGTTGCTAATGTGGAAAGCAGCATCCACAGCAGGTCAGTAAGAGAGAACTGTAAAACTTCCCACACCAGAATTGCCAAGTGTGTTTTGATTTCCCCCATACCCAAATTTTTTATGGGCTGAACTCTGGACTCAGACGGGGGCTGAAGAGGATCTGTGTTATGTCCATCCCATGCTGAGTCCTTACAGCTGCAGGCATCCATCTGGGGTCAGCAAGTCTTTATTGATGTTTTTTTCTAACCAACAGAACCAGGATTAAGCATCCTAAAATGTTTTCAATCCAGTTTCACAATTTCTGAAATCTGAACAACTTTATTGTTAGCAATATGAACCACCAATCACTTGGATTTTTTCCCCTCAAGCCCTTTCTAAGAGATGCAAATGGTTGGTTGAGTTTTGCAAGCAAATTTCACTGAAAGTAACGTGGGCTAGAAAATCCTGTGTGAGTTTTAAATAATCATTAAATCTGCTTCATTTCAGAGGTAAGGAATTGCATTCTAAGAAATCCTCATTTTTTCCCTCTGTGATCCATCTCTCTCTGTTCCCCACACTGTTCCAACATTGCTAAGATAATGGTCTGTAATGCTTTTCCTAGAAATTCTGCTGTTACCGACTCAGATAATGGAGGGACGTGGATGAAAGCAGCTCTTCCATTGCCATAATACAGAGAAGTGTAGTAGGTGTAATCACAGATGTACCTGCAATATTAAGAACAAAACAAAACCAGGAACCTGAATTAAGGCTCAGTAAACCTTGATTAAATTTAAATATTCTAAGTAGCCAAACCAGATCTGGTTTATGAAATTATTAAGAACATATTTGCTTAGTGAATAAAGGAAATGCTGAAATAAACCAAGTTTGAGAAACAAATGTTGCTTATCTGATGGTTTGGTTTCTCAGACACCCACCCACAAAGAACTTTAAATAAAAAAAAAATAAAATCACAAGACATTCTTGTGGGGTGGGAAAGGTAACACACCCTGCTGGAAATTACAACCATGTAACACAGTTTTTGTCTAAGTTATAAAATCTCTGAAAAGATTTTTCTGATCATTCCACCTTTTAAAATTCAGGTGCAAATCTTGAATTTAAGGGCCAATATTAGCTGATTTTTATTTAAAATAAAATTACTGGTTTGTTTTCCTTTCCAGTGAAGACTACCATAGTAGAAAATTGCTTCAGTGCTACTGGAATACATAATGAGATCACAGGCCTGGTTCTAACAGTACCTGTAATTGCTGTTCTCCAGTGTATCTATTTACATTTTGTATCCCTCCCAGTTGAGAAAAATAGATTAAAATCTGCTACTAGTCTGTATTGCTTTCAGGCTCTAAATAGCTGAGGTTTACTGGAGTTGCTCATCACAGGGTGTGCTATGTTGGAACTTGTTTCTTTTGGAATTTACAAATTTATGGAAAAATATCTACTGGCTGTAGCTTTTCATGAAGGCTGCTTTACATCAAATTTAAAATCATCCCAGTTTCATACTTGTGCCCCTTAAAGAATTTGCTTTGGAGTGATTTTGATTGGAGGAGAGCTCATGGCAAAGATTCTCCAGGGTTAGATGAGCAGATTGAGTTGTTTTTGTGAGCCCCTGATACGCGATGTTTACCTTCCTGCATCTCTGGAAAGGATGATATCAATCCCTTCCACTGAGACGTTTTTCCAGAGAGTCTTCATATTAATTGTAGATTCAATCTTTTCTGGGCCATCTAGCACGCAGCAGGCACCTTCTGGGTGAAAGCCACGAGCATCCCTCTCCTGGTAGCCTTTGTTCTTCCCACACTGCTCCAGGATGATGAGTGCTGTGGTGGACGAAGCCAGCCCAACGTGAACTGTAAGCTGGTTTTTCCCACCAGAGTGAATAATAGGAAATTAAAAATGAGACCTGCTTTTAAAAACATGTGATGCAAAAGGTCCAAGCATTATGTGAGTTACTGGCTTGAAGGTGGGGAGCCTTGCTCATGTCTAAAGAAAACTTTGATAAAGTATTATAAATGAGAAGGAAATTAGGCTTTAGTTTTTGTTGAGTCTAGTCAGGACTGCAGAGCAGCAGTACCTTTTTTGCAGTTTGTGGTAGATATTTTCCTTTCCTTTGTTCAGCATCAGTTATGCTGTTTAACTGGTACAGGGTTAAACCATCATGCTAATTAGCGTGTGCTCCGAATTTCAGCTTGGAACCTTGATCGCAGTTTCAACAGTCACTTTCCAGAGTTGTTTGATGTTTTGCAATACTCCTTTGGAGATTTTTTCATTGTATTCAGGGGAGAGGAGGAGATTGTTTAACTTCATCATTACCCACCAGTGGCTGAAGAGTTGTCCATATCTTGCAGACTTGCTCCTTTGCTTTTTGGTAAACCACTGGCAGCTGCATGATCTGGAGATCAATGTTTTCACCAAGGCCTCTCTTGGACAGCTCCTGTGTTTACAAAAAAGCCACCAAAGACATGAAGGAGCATTGGATTTCTGACTGATAAACAAACTGGGCTGATTCAACTGAGGAAACACCTGAAAGAGCCACACCTTAGCCCATGGTTCCTGTTGTTGGTCTGCAATGAGATTTGTTTTGTTGTTGCTCCCTCTCTTTTAACTGGAAGAGACTAAAATGTGCTAAACAGTTTCCTAATGTCACATCTATCCATGTGGAGCCATTGTTGTGTTTTCCAAAGAGATGCTCAGCCTCCAGTGGGTGGGAGGGGTTATTGCTTTGGGACTGGTCCCTGGGTAACCATGAGGCAGCATCTCTCAGAAAAGCTCCACCCCTGAAAGCATCTAAATAGGCTTTGCTATTTGTAGGTAAGAGCTGTTTCTCTGAAAGATCCGGTAGAATGTTTTTCTAGTAAAAGGAAATGTCACTGAGATGTTACTTCTCTGTCAATTATGTACAGTTGAGTTTCCACACAATTTTCCCAAAGAAAAAATTATGCCCAGAATTGAGGTGAATGGAGCAAGGGCACCTTTCAAAGCAGCAGCTTGGCCAGCTGGTTGGAAGATGGTCTGGAGAATGAATGTCACATGGAAGTGACTTGAAATGATTTTGTCATTGGAACAGGGCTAACAAGCCAGGCCTAGGCCTCAGCAGAAGGTAAGCAGCTGCAGTGGCTGGGTGCAGAAGGAATTCATCTGAAGTGGGAAGCTCTGTCCAAGAAAAGCAGAATGGTGGCTGAAAATCCCTGTTCCATTTGAGTAAACCACTCCCAAAGGATGGTACGGGGTAAGTTTTAAGGGGGCACAGGCAAAAGTGGAGGTGTCTGATTGGCCCAGGAGACCTGTAACTATTCAGTGTCATCAACTTCTCAGGTTTTTGTTTCTCACTCAGGATACCCCTGCGGATGAGGCCCACAGTTCTGGGAAACCTGCCCTTCACCACTCGCTTCCTATATAAACTGTTCCAATTTTCTTGTCAGCGGAAGCATTGATTAGCTGTGCTCAATAAACTATTTGACACAAGCAAGGAAACAATGCCTGCAGGGAAGTAAACACATTTGGAGAACAGTGCCAGCCTTTTTTCCTGTGGGCGCTGACAGTCTTTGAGAGCCCATTGCATCATCCTGCTGAAGAATGCTGTACTGTGCCTGAGCCTCCACACAAGAAAACCCCAGCTGGTTCACAATTAGCATTTGCTTTTCCAAAGCATTTTTAATTTTTACATTTAGTGAGAGTCTTTCTTTTAAACTATAAGCTTAGAGGACTCGACTACCCCTAACTTTGGTGCAGAATGTGGAGACCCAGAGGCAGCTGTAATGCTGCTCTCCTCTCGTGCTCTCTGGGTCAAGACATTCTGTTGTCACCAGTTGTCATGGCAGAATCACACAGAAATACTGTTGTGCAGGACCAGACTGAAGCTGGCCATAGCAAATGGCTGAGAATTTGTGTCAAGGGAAGATGGTTCTCTATGTCCTAAGCAATTTCAGCGTGTTGTCAATAATGTGTGTTTCTGTGTTGTCTAACAATCCCAGCCACGGGTTTACACCCTGTTAGACCAGATGGGTAAACATGGAGCAAAATAAAAAAAGGCTGTTCCTTGTCTCAGCCTTAACCAGAACCAATTTTGCATTTAAGGTGGGAGAGTGAAGATGGTTAGAGGAGGGTAACTGCACATGGAAACCAGAGCTCACACTGGTAAGTGAATTAAGTAAACAAGTGCCTGTCTTGTGTAGTTGAAACTGGAAAGGAAATTTCGAAGGAGAAGAGTTTTGGAGGACTGTTTTGTGGGAAAAGTGGTTAGAAAGAAAACATGAAGATCCCTTCTTGGGAAGTTCTTCTAGAAGGGAGAAGAAATCCAGCATTATCAGCTGCGGACCTTGAGCTATTGTGAGTTGTGGTCATAGTCCTGGTCCACTGGTGTTCTGGTCCAAAGAGAAGTGATTTGCACAGTGTTGTGCTAAGGTTGGTACTGGAAACTCTGTATGTTGGAAATAGCTAGAACTTCTAGAAAACTCTGGAAAACATCACTGAGTTTGCCTGAGTTCTCACTGATTTGGGTTGCTGGGAAGGTTGTGTGTGTTAATTTTGTGAACTGCTTGTGCTGGTGCAGAAAGGAAACCAGGTTTCGGTTGGCCCAGCCAGACTGCAAGTACATTGCAAACAAAGGTGTTTTGTGTGGCTGGTTAGTGGGGTTTTGTTTATGTGTTTGGTTTGGGGTTTTGGTTGTTTTAAGTTGTTGGGGTTTTTTCTAATCCTGTAGATAACCTTCTTAAAACTTCAGGGATGTAAGAAAGTTCCAACACAGAAATGAAGGCACTAAATAGCAATGACTTGGTTTCACAGATGATGAAACTAAAGCAGAAGGGGAGAGAGACAGATTAAATGACAGATTTCCAAAGACCACATGGTCAGTGGCAGGATGAAAAACTGTGCTGGGAGATCTGATCCTCATCTCCTGATAGCAGACATAGTTCCCAGAAGCAGTTGGAAATGTGACCTGTTCTTTGCACTAACAGTTTAATTACTATGAATGTTGTCACTCAACTTACATTTGTGCCCTATTAGCTGGGGACTCTGACCTTGATGGTGGAGTGCCCTGAAAGGTCATTTTGCAGCCAAGCTGCAGACAGGACATTCTGCAGGAGGAGACACAGCAAAAAGGTTGGACTGGCACAGCTGATCCCGTCAGCAGCACCTTGTGGAGGAGCTTAAGGAAACAGTGGAGTGTAAGATCAAGTATTGCTCAGAGAAGGGCAGCCATGGTTCTTTGGCCAAGGATCCATTTCAAGAGCATGGAGAGTGAGGTTTTGCTTTGGAATTAGGACACTGGAACTGTTAAATATATTTTTACAGGATTTCAGAGGCTTTTGGTATGGGGACCCTTCTGGGATGTGAACTTCTAAGGCTGTGTGTATCAGCATTACTTCATCACTGAGGGTGCTATCCAGGCTTTTGATAAGCACCTACTTCATTTTGGGGTAATAATTAGGATAGTTCTGGGTAATGCTACAAAGGCATTCAGCCATATGTCCAGTCATATTCAGTAGGTCTGTTCTGGCTGCTCAGCATGTTGCTGAGGATGAATCTGAGTGCACACTTGCGTGGTTCACAGCAAAGAGACTTGGCTGGAGGGTTTTATGTCACTCCAGTGATCTATGCAGGTATCCCAAGCCAAGGCAGGATTACTTCCAGATGTAAATACTAAATTGTGCTATCTTTAATATATGTGCATAAGCTTCCTGAAGATCATAGGGCTACTCCCCTGAATGAGGCCAATGGAACAATACTACGAGATTGCTATTTAGTGTGGAGAAGCCTATCGAAATTCAAAGTGCTTCCAGATTTGTAGCAAATTTCTCTGAATTGCCTGAATTAACCACCTTTGCTGGGGAGTAGGAAACCAAAGCAGCATCCCCAGTCTGAATACAAATTGATTCCACATAGAGGGTGCCACATCAGAGGGAAATGGATTTGTTCTCCTCCCTGTACAAGGACTGACATCTGTTTTGCTAGGGAATGCCATGGCCCTTGTTATGTAAGTCCCTGGCATGGGCAGCTCATGGCATTGTTACAGAAAACTCATCCCATCGGTGTGTCCTCACAAGGCTGTTTAGATTGCAGATAAAGAATATGCTCTATTTTCAGCCAGAAGAGGATGACCTTGCACCCAAAATTAGAACCAATAGGAATCAGGAAATAATGAGCAAGAACACTGTCAACTGACAAATATTTGTGGTTTAGGGCACATGTCAAGTTGGAGTTAAGATAATTTATGGGTCTCCTGTCATGACTGGGATGTGGAAAGGTATCACAGAAGGATTTTTGTTTCTTGTTAGCCTACAGGGATAACACCCCTCAAGACCTGGAAGGGGCAATAGATTTATTCTACCAAACACCAAGCTGCACTCAGCATTCTTGACTCAACAAAGCTAGAATAGAAAATATGTATGTTTTGGTGGAATTACTATAGCTTTGGTCTTTGGGAAAACATACTGGCTCTTTGTTTTTCAATCATCTTGGCTTGAGTGCACTTCAGTTTCAAAACAGATATTCAGTAGCTGTCACCAAAATTTCTACTATGGTTATAGTCCTATAGAGCCATCACCTTTCTGTCATTACTAATACATTCCTATAGCTGACTTTCTCACTTCATTGTCCAAAAGCATTAAAAATTGTAAGGACTAGTTTCAGTCTTCATAATAGAACACAGCCCCCTTGGTTTGTTTTACATGTCCTACTTTCCATTTTACCAATATTATCTGTCATTTCTTGTATATTTTGGACCAATGCTCCAATTCAATTTTACTACTTTGACTGTTCCCCCACTAGTTTCACATTTCATTGTGTAACCTCCTTTCTACCTTGGGATTGCTAAAAACTTATGTGGAAGATCCTCTCACAATAACTCTGTTCATAGGTACCTGATGAGAGTAACTGAGCTCCAGGAAAGGCTGCTGTCTGTGACAGGGAGAATGAATCAGCTGATGCTGAAAGCCAGGTATCCAAACCATGCCTTTGTATCCCCCAGCTAAATTTGTTCTGCTACACGGATTTAGGAAACAAGCAGGAATTTTCAAGACTGCATCTGAGATTTATTACTGCTGGTCAAGGTGTATGGAGGAAAAAACCCCTCCGAATGACCTTGTTTTCAATTTAACTGCAGAATCCACTGTCATTTGAAAGTGGAAGCCAAAGCTGAAATGTGAACTCCCACTCAGAGCTGGCAGTATTTAGGTTCTGTGTTCCTGAAGCAGGCAGTGAGAACTCAATAGGCTACACTTGTGTGAGAAGCAAATCACCTCACACAGGATAAAATGAACTGTGATAGGAGAGATGATGGTTTACTACAGACAGACATAACCTGTGGCACATGCAATAGTTGTAGAAAAGGCACCATAAGAAAAAAAAATTTTTAAAATGAAGAATAATGTTTTAAAGTGCCTAAATGGCTCCAAAAATAAAGCAAGTAAAATAATATTTCAATGCATTATCCTCTTTGTTCCATGTTGTGTGTCTGCTCCAGGAGGCACAATTCTGTTTAATGAGTCATGAAAAGGGAATGGAAAGCATAAGACCAGTTTGTGTTGGGATGGCTAAAAAATAAAATACCTCCCTCATTTTTTTCCTTCTTATGCCTACCTTCACTGCTTCCCAGCTAGAATTAACCAGGTATTGTCTGAAGGGACCAAAACCTGAAAAGAAAGAAAGGTGATTTTAACCTGTGCTTACTCTACACTTGCAGATTAGGTGTTGATGTGTGCACACACATATTGGATTTTTATCTTCCTATTTTTGGTTATGGAGGTTGAGTTTTTTAGATAGGATTTAGCTTTAGTAACACTTAAGGGAACAGTATTTTCAATTTCTATATTCACTGATAAAAGAACTAATCCTGCAATCTTCATTCATGTCAAGCCTTTCTTATGAGAGAACCTTAACTGGAGCTGGATAAATGTACCTCCAATAGGACAGATCATGTAAATGATAATTTTGGGGAAGGCTAATCATCCATAGAAATACCACTACTAAAAGTTATGGTATTAAATACTCCCGGGTCACAGTTAATGTATCATTCTTATTGTTAAAGCTCATGAAGATTAAGACATGCATACTTAATGAAAATGTTTGAAAGAGTAAAATTTATTTTAATAGCAAGTAATGAAAACTTAGTTTTCTGTCTGGGAAACTGTGCTTTTTTGTGATGCTGGGAAAAATGTCTTCACTTTTTCCCCCAGGAAAAGAGAGGAGAAAAGGGGAAAGAACACTTTGACTCCCAACTATTACATTCAATTTTATGCATCTTTTTTTGTGAAAGGATTTTTTTTTATAAAAAGGGAAAAGACCTAATTTTGAGCAGATGGGCATTTTGTCATTAAAAAGTTTGAAGGAAAACTCCCACTATCTTTATTAATCTCAATTAATGTTCTCAATCCAGAGTGTTGCTAAGTCCTAGATACTGGGTGTCAGGAAAATGAGTTTGTGAAATGGTTTTAATGCTATAACTCTTAAATATTTAAAATCCTTAAATGGACAAGTAAATACTTGACAGCAGATGATTGCCATTTTGCACAGAGAAAGCTACTTGTATGTAGAGAAAATTAAGCCTAAATGCAGGCTTGTGACAGCTTAATTAGTGCTAGACTTTAAGCATTTCTTAATTTGTTAATATTTATTTCATAACTGCTCCATCTTTTCTCTTTTATGTTATCAAAAGCTTATATTTTTGACAAGGTTTGAGTTTCTCCTGTGGTGAGGGAACAAAGAAAATGGTGCTCATTTCACATTTCCAGGAAACATAAAACCCCATTATTCCCACTCTGCTTTGAGAGCAAAATTCGGGTGGCACCTGCTCCATCTTGGAGCTGTAGTTGTAGGAGTTTCTGTACCTGTGTGTGCAGAATTGCAGAATTATAATAAAGTTATTAAGTAGCTCACAATGAAACACTTGTGTCAGTGGTGGCCCTTAAAAACTACTGCTTAGGATAAAATTGCTATGAAAAATAACTAATTGTATGAGAGTTTTACTGCAATACCTGCAGCAGTGTGGAGAGGTAACTGGGTGAATGTGACTGGGCTCCATATAATAACCTGGGCTCCCTGCCAGCAGGTTTATATTCTGAGCAGGTGAAAATGTGACAGAGACATGCTGTGATAATCTCTGTAGTAGATTAAAGATGCACATGTGTCTTTACTAGTCTAAAGCTTTTTGACCAAGGAGATTTCTGGACATAAATGGTGATCTAAAGGGAGGAAAAAACTAACAGGGTGCTAGGAAGTGTTCCCAACAAGGGTATGTGCCATAAATATCATAGGAGAGAACCAACCAGACTGTCAGCCTTTTAGGAGGTTAACAAATACCTCTTGCCCTCTCCTGCACTCCCCATCCAGCTCATCTGCAGTTAGGGCTGGAGCAAGCTAGACTAGTTCTGCCCATCTTGCAGCTATTAAACAAAAAAAAAAAAAAAAAAAAAAAAAAAAAAAAAAAGAAAAGTGTTTAATTGAAAACAGCAAGATGCAAATCTCTTTGATGTAGCTTCACCCTCGTTCCTATATCCTCAGATGACCTGCAGTGGAAAATTATCCAGCAACTCACATGTCAAGATATGTGTAATGATTGCCCTTAGATGAGCCAGTGGCAACAAGAGGAACAGCGAGCAGCAGCATTCCTTAGGAGCTTTAACCTTTTAAAGCTCAGCACTCTCTGAGCTGCTGGTTCTGACTCTGTGATGCTGCACTAGTTGGGGCCAGCAAGAGAAATTCCAAATTTGGTCCCTTGTGCTGCATGTTCAGGCATGTTCCTTTGGTATATTTAAATGGGATGGTTTCGTTTAGCAGTGATGAGGCAGCATCTCCTGTTTAAAACTCCCTTACCTTGCCATGAAACTGAGCCCCAGAAAGTTGCCATGTGCTGCTCTAATTCTGGACACTGACTGTATGACATTGTGATGCAACCTGGTTTTCTTGCTTCAGAGCTTCTTTTGGGTAAGCTTTATCTAATAGTAGCCTGCACTGCCTTGAGCTATGTGGTTTGGATCAGAGAGAATGTCAACAAAGATTAAAACATGGAGAGAATGAACAACAAACCCAACTGGATGGCAGTAAAGAGGGCAGAATGCAGTCTGTTTCCTCTGACATGCATCTGATTTTTCTTAGGAAGGCACAGCAAGTTATTTTCCATTTGGAAATGTTAGCATGACCATTTGCTACTCTTTTTCCCTCCAGGAAACTGTTTATGACAAAGATCAAGCATGCGTGCATGCCATCTCTGGCTCAAAGAATGAAATAAAAATCTTACCAGTCACCACCACAGTGTTGGAATTTGAATCCATGATATCTGTGCTCCAGGAGGTGGAATCTTCTTGTCTTTCAGTTCCAAGCAGTATCATAATTCAGGTATCTGTGGCAAACTTCATTTGGGGCACCTTTTTTCTTCCAACTCTGATGACTCTGGCTTCACATGACAGGGATGATTTGTGACTCATGTAACTTTTAAAGCAAAAATGATTACGTCTCTATTAAAGATAGAAGTCTGACTGACTGGAACTGCCCCAAACTCTTTCCTCTCCCAGGTATGGAGTATTTAGGAAGAGGGGGAAAAGCTTAAGAAAATTTCCTGTAAAATATCCAGCACTATTTTTCATCACTTGTTTATGTGCAAGTAAACAGAAAGTGAATTGAATCAGTTTGATTATATCTCTGTGGGTATTCTGTTTTTAGCAGTTGTAACTCACTTTAATGGCAAGGAATTACAACTACAAAAAATTATCTGTCCATTTCCACTGTTCTTGGACTTCTCCTTACTAACTAAAGCTCAGAGGTAACTTTGCTGTCCTTCTTCACAGCACTTATCTGACTTACTCCTCTTGATCCTGATCTCAGGCTTGTTATGAAAGAGTCCAAGCACTGTAGACTTTTCAAACCAAACACCAACAGGAAAATGTGTGTATTCGCTAACCCAAAACATTTACTCCGTAATACCCTTTAACAGGCAACATGTTAGAAAATCTCACTCCAACTTGCAAGGTCAGAGGAACTCTGGAAGCTGGGTTGTAGCTTGCTGAAACTGGTGAGTTTAATAGCTGGTCTGTCTTCATTAAAGTGGAGCCTGAGAGCCAATGGGGGGGGCCTGAAATCAAAACATATGCACATTGTCACTGCCCAAAACAAAAGCATATGCAAGTTCTCTTGGGAATTATAACTATGTGGGCAGAGGGTTTCACTGGGTCTTGTTTTGAGTAGGAAGTGTGTGTGTGTGTGTGTGTGTGTGTGTGAGAGAGAGAGAGAGAGAGGGAGGGGAGAAATAAGCTAAGAATAGAAAGCCACTATATTATCTCAAGAGAGCTGGTAATTGTGAGACCTTAGGGAAAAAAAAAAGAAAAATCCCTGAAGAAATCCCTTGGGTTGGGTGGTGGCTGAATGAGGTTTGGAGCTATGACCTGTGTCTGTCATTTAAATTGTCCTGTGCTGAGACACAGAATGATGTGTGGAGTCTCTTTAAAGACTCTGATTCCACCATCCATTTCTTCCCCTGACTAACACAACTTGCAGAATTAACTTTTGCTGGCTGTTGGGGCCGAAGGAGCTTCCAATACAGGAAACTTTCAGAGCTTTCTGCAGCTTTAAATAAGGCAGAATCTGCCACTGGCAGCACTGAATTACTTTTAAAATCCTTCACACTCCTATGTCAAAGACTCTTATCCATTAATTTTTATGCTTGACCAGTCATTAAAACACTTCCTATAATTCTGAACAGGGCAATGACATACCAGTCTTCTCATAGTTGTTTTTGATTTGCGCTGGTTTTTTTAAAGAAAAAATCAAAGTACAGGGAGGTCTAATGAACAAAGAATTTGTAAAGAATAAGGCAAGATTTAAGGTCTTAAATAATTTCCAGAGTGAGAATTTCTATTTTCTTTGGGATGTGAGAGCTGCTTTATACATATATATATAAGAAGAGTGTTGCTTGAATGCTGTAAAATATTAGATATTTCATGAGATATTCTTCCAGAGGGGAGATGTAAGTCTATCAGTTCCATGCACTCTGTAACAACTGATATGATCTTTCTGTAATGTAGTACTAGTTTTTAAAGTTTTTACAGCTGGCAAAAGGGAGTAGAAAAGAAATACAGAGTAGCAAAGATTAATTCACTAAGCCTTTATGAAGAAGCTGATAGAAATTTGTAGTGGGGGGAGAAGCATTGTCTTGACTAGTTAAGTTAGTACCTTTTCTTAAGCAGATGTTTGCTGAATTGGAAGTAAAGATTCTGAGACCTGATTCTGATTCAGTGTTGGTAAATGCTTGTGCAAATGTGGGAGGAATGCTAGTGGTTTAAGTAAACCAGAATTTGACAGAGACTACTGAAATTAATTTTTGCACCGATTTAACTGGTTGCTCATATTCCCAAGCTTTCTGTGCATGGTAGTATACTTGGAGGAATTTGCAGCTGTGCCACACAGCTAAAAAAGAATTGAGAGATTTGAATTAGGCCTTACTCAGAAATTATTCAGAGATGAAATGAAACCTTTTCTTTCCCCTAACATTTCTTCAGTTGAAGTTGAAGCCACTCTTGAAGTTTTTGTTAAAGTATGATTGGAGCTTTAATATTAGCACTCCCATGGGTATCTGTGCCCAAAACAATGGATTTGAGGGTCACTGGATATTCGAGGTCTGTGCAAATGAATCTCCCCATCCATAATTAAGAACCCAAGCCCTTGCTATTTGCAGGCAAGTCACAGACACAGCTGACTCAGCTAAACTCTGGTTGTTTTTCTTCTTGCTACACACAGATGTGATTGGCACGGCACTCATCTTGAGGTGGAGACGAAATGGAAGCAACTCAGCTATGAAAATCCTGGTTATCACCTTGAATATTTTTCTGCACATTTGTCTGATACTTTCAAAAATTGTTTGAACTGCTGCTGAGTAAGAGGAAAAGATATTTTCTGCAAATGCATTCTGACCACACCGCAGAGCTGGCAGCACACTGCTTAAGTAGCTTTTTAGTAGATGGCAAGAAGGCCAGAATATGGCCCTTCATTTAGAAACAGCTCTTTAATTTTTATCTCTTTTATTATTACTTATATATATTTCTTTTATTTCTTGTTATTGGCAGGCACTGACCAAAGTTTTAAACTGTGGAAGTGTTTAATATATTTCAATTTTTATCTCAGCTGTTCAACACTTAATGAGAGGAGGGAGAAATCAAGCTGTTATGCTATTTAACACTAAAATATAATGGAACTTTAAATAGAATTTCAGTATCTAAAACTCCTTATTTCTTTTCCATTCTAATAAAAATAAATGGTCCTCAGGAAAGACTGAAGCTGGTCTTTATGTAGATAGAAAGTGGTGTCACAGAAAGAGAGGACACAAACATTTCAGTGTAAAGCTCATTTTTCCCTGACGAAATAGGGCTCTTCTACAATAAAATCCATAGAAATGGTAAATTAAAAAATATAGTGGCAGTTTCACTCACTTTTTTTTTGTTTTGGAAGAGACACCTTCAACTATCCGAGGTGCTCCAGACCTGGCTTCCAAGGATGGGGCAGCCACAGATTCTCTGGGCAAGCTGTGCCAGGGTCTGGTTTTGGATAGAAATTGTCATGCATTTTATGTTGTTTGATTATTTATTTTAGTTCCTCAGCAATTGAATCCATTGGTATATACCTATTTTTATGGGGAAAATTGCAACTGAATGAGTTGAATATAGCAAATTACTGAGTGGCTATTATTAATATCAGTCCCGGTCTTCATGCAGTATTAGCAAAACTAATGGCTGTGTATGGACAGGTTTTTAAATTTAGCTTTTTGTTTATAATAGGGAGAAAGGACTTAGCAGGGCACAGGCAACCCAGTTTTTTTCCCCTCCTAAGCCTTCTGCCTCATGCCACCTGCGCTAACACAAACTGGCGCTGGGTTTACGGTTTGTCATTCTGTGCCTTTAAAAGAAATAATTTGAGATTTTTGTCGGAGTTTCTTTAGTTCAGATGCAGAGTGGGCTGGCCCTCTCGCAAGGCTGTGCTTCGATGGCGGGGGCTGAGGGCATTGCCCGAGCCTGAGGGCATTCCCTGAGCTTGTGGGCATTGCCCAAGCCTAAGGGCATTCCCTGAGCCTGAGGGTACTCCTGTGGGCAT